TGGGTGCTAAATCATCGCTCCTTTTCGAGTGGATTCTGTCGGGTATATTCGACTAAAAGCGCTCGGAAGGGTCGAAATCATTGAATATCATAATTGGATGTGATTCTGATGAGGTTTGGACCGATTGCAGCGGTTATTGTTAGTGGGCCGATTTCCGTTCTTATGCGGACTTCACCTTTTTGAAGTAGTTAGTGAATTTTGAATAGCCCTCAGACGGTCTACTATTAATCATGATTAACTCGTTGATTAGTATTGAATATTTTCGTTACATAATTTGCTATTGTGTGGACATATTGTTAACCGTTATCTTATAACAGCATGTACAACTTTTAACATTTAATCTGTTTTATAGTTTCACAATCATTCATGATCATGGCTATGTGAATTGGTAACCATACTACATGCTTTGAATAAAACCTGAAAAACTTTCGCATTTATCAACATATAGTTATAATTGGGTCTAATAAAGAAGAAAAAAGTTAAAATGATTTGACTAGTTTAGAAATTATGTATTATTTATACTAAATGTAATACATGCATCAAATAGCTAATTTCACTCTGATACAACAAACGTTTTGTTTTACGCTCTAATAATTTCTCTACAGGCACAAACTTTCTAGTCTCTGTAAAACACAATCAATTTTCCCTGTTGAATAAATACGTTTCACAGCCTTACCGGGATTTTTTTTCGACATTTGTATATTGTATCCATTCATGGTGAGAATTTCGAGTAATTCAAATCTAAAATACAATAGAATATAAAATTATCGATGTCGACAAGGTGCTTTTTTTTATCAGTCTATATCTGAATAATTAAATGTACCTGAATGCTGATATATCCTTTCTAATTTCATCCAAATCATCTTCAGTTACACCTCCCGTATGATGTTTCTGTTGACGTTTAATTGTATATCGTTTAATTAACTCACGTATTACACATCTATATTTTGTTCTTCGTTCGTTCATCTTAGTCATTATTTTCTAAAAATAATTTTATTAAAAATTGACTATATTCTTAGTTTTTAACAAAATATATGTATTTTACATTAAGACTTTGCCATCTATTTTTCCATTCTCGTCTTGAACATCCACATACTCGCCAATATAAATATCTGATAACATAGTAAATTGATTTTGGACTCGGAATAATATTAAATGGAGGAGGCAATGTACCACCATCTTCAAAATAACTTGTCCACAATTTAGCACGAGCAAATTTCCATTCTGTTTCTGTTTGATTCTTAAAAAATAAAGAACAAAAAATAATTATATTTTATATAATTATTTCTATTTCAGCTTACGGCTATGTATTGATAACTGTTACTCATCATGGCGATAAGCATATTCAATAGGACAATAATCATTATACTACTGTATACACCATACATTAATAGTCCAATGAACATTGTGAATGTATGCCTTTTATGTATCTGGAATGTCTGAAGATCAATCAGCCCAAATGTTCCCCAAAATAATGTTTGCAATGCTTCAAACAAGCTAGAAAAACGATATATATACATATTCAAATATTTTATATAGAATTATTTTTCTTAATAAAAATTCGTCTAATCTAACAATGATAGATAATTAACCATAAAGTAAGATTATCTTTTAAATATTTTTTTAAACAATTATATCCACTACTTTAATAATTACTTGGAAAAATGTTTATAAATATCTTTTGCACAATATTCATCCGATGCTGATTGTGCTAATTGTGCTGCACATTCTCGTTTTTTCATTCGTGCATAATACCAAAATAATTGATTAAGACCACATGCAAATGCAAATGCAACTAACATAATTAATACAGAAAATCTAAAAATAAAATAATATTTAAAAATTTTCTTTAAAACAAAATATCTAAAAATTTACTTTAAAATATCATGAACCATTCGTCCTAGTGATATTTGTAATGGTCCCAAATGTGGATTTATGGTAAAAATATAAACTAGTTTTAATGAGCTAAAAATATTAGCGGCTGCAAAAACACCTTCAGATATTAGAGTAGGATCCCACGGATCCCAGTCTTTTCTATCAATATGAGATATTGTTGCCGTTATGTTTGCCTTGGCCATTTTCACTAGACGATCTCGTTCTTCTTTGTTTACCTGAAATATGTAGAATAAAGCGGTATATCCTATCTAACTTTTTATCTCTGTATGTTCTTACTTTAATATAGGCCATAACACGCAATATAATTGTGGCAACGTATAAACAATTTGTAATCCAATCTAATAGATTCCATGTATCAGCCATATACTGATGGAGACCTTCTTGATATAATTGTTTTATTTCAGCCCATATAAATCCTGCTACATAGACCATAATAGCCAATTCTACTGGATTTGGTGGTGGTCCTCGACGTTCATTCATATCCTCTTCTTTATCAGACCATTTTCCAAAATCAATTCTGAGTGATATAATAAATAACAATACTAAAAAAAAAAATATAAGATAAGAAATAATATAGAAAAATATTATAAATGATAATTATTCTACGTACTGAGAAAAAAGACGTATGATGTACTGTGACAAATAAATTTAATGAATGGTTGTCGCATTATTCTTCCCATACGACTTCTAGGCATCAATAAATAAGCAATAGCTAATAATGGAAATAAGAGTCCAACAAGTCCAGTAATTAAAATTTTGATGACTGCATGTCGACGACGAAAACCGGGTAAACCTTCATACCACAAAGATGCAAGTAATTGTTGACAATGAGAATGAGACACAAACTAAACAAGAGAAAATAGAATATATATTTAAAACAGTTTATTCTTTTATTGTTTACCTTTTTCTGTTTATATCTAATAGCCATTTTTAATCGACTTAAATTCATTTTTTCATTTTCTGACAACCCTGGCGGATTATCATTATCAAAATTAAGAATAATTTCTAATTCTTTAGAACTACGTGTTTCCGCTAATAGTGCTGCTGAATATTCTTGACATTGTTGTGCTAATTTTTCATATTCTTCTTTAAATTCATTTTCAATTCGACTTAAACGTTTTAATTCACGATTTAATTTGAATGCTTCCTGAATGGGATCATCACTTGATATTGAAATATAAAATGGACTTGATAAGGCCTTATAAGCATTAATACGTGAACGTGAATGTCTCAAACTATCTTCTTTATTATAAATTAAACATTTTTCACAATTACATCGTACATCATGTGGTTTTGATACTAAATCTCCACGATTAAATAATATTTGAATTATTTCATAATTATCACGATGAGCGGCCAATATAATAGGAGTGATATCGGGAGTATAAGATCTTGATGTACTTAGATTCAATTGTTCAGTAACCTAGAACAATTGGGAACTAATAGAACTATTTATATGAAGAAAAATATTTAAATTAATTAAATAAAACGCTTTATGTCAAACTAATTAGTGAATCAAGCTGATGTGATAATGCATTTTTATATTGTGTACAGGTGTAGAACACTCATTACAATTATAATTATTATCATTATTACATGACATTTTACATCCATTCAGAAATTTTGTTTTAATGTTATAGAGACATCAATATTAAGGAGGCATACGGTATATCAATAAAATTGGCTCCTTTCTATGAAATGATATTAAATCATCTTTCAGAGAGAAATCAGTTTTTTATAAGCGACATTTAATATCATCTTTGGTAAAAAAATCGATTTTATTATTAATTCTTATGAGATATGGTAGTATTTTTTCTAAATATAGCAGACACAACTAGTTAAATTTTTAGTTTTTATTTCTCAAAAATTGTATTTTGTAATTAGAATCGGCTATAATGACGTTAACTAATTGATTAGATACAGTTTATTATATAAACTATAATTAGAATTTTGACATTTAATAGTATTAAAAAATCTATCATATTTAACACAAGATTTATCTAGAAAAAGTTATCAAACAATCACACAGATATAGTGTTTTATTTGTGTTACGTGCGTTAAAAATCGTGCTGGAAAGAAAATGTGAAATAAGAGTGGTACACTAAAGGTGTCTGTTTATCTAAATAAAAAAAAAAAAATTGCAACATTTATTAACAGTAGCAGCAGTAGCAACAATGTATCTAGCCAGTAGCAGAAGTAAGATTGAGTGTGCACAAAGGCATAATTGCATAAAGCGCACATTGTATCTAGTGTTATCTGCCTACAAGATAAAATATATATAGAAAGATATGTATATATAGAAATATCTTGAAAAAACTAATATTCACAACAAGAAAGAATGTTTGTTTATGAAAATTATTGAAATGTTGCAATTAAATTATATTGAACAAAAAAATAATAATGACAAACATAATACAAACGTGTCTACTTTATTTTTCTTCTCAGAAAATGTATATGTGCAAAGATATGAATATCCACAGCATGCGAAAAGAATAAACGAGACATTGAATATACTTTTATTACCGATTGCTGCTCTTTTTTTCGTACAGCTTGAAGTAAAAAGGCCCATTTAGATTTTGGACTCTAAAAAATATGTGGGCCATCATATATTACAACAAATTAAATTAAAAATAATTAATAAAAGTATAAGATTTACTAATATCAATAACAACATGAAGAAAATATATATATATCACTATAAAAAATAATAATAATAATAATATATGCATTACTTTTACAAAGAAAAATTATGTAATAATAATGCATAATGGGGTGGAATATTGATACTTTCACCGGAGGTATATTTTATCATGCAAAAATAGACGATTAGCTTAAAAACTATAGACGTCATTGCCATTTCATTGGACAATGGCGTATAGCTTCAATTTACTTATTAAATTTACAAATAATATTTTCAATTCAAATGACGAAACAAAACCATGATCGAGACAGTGGTGTAGTCAATAGGTGGGCTGATGTATGTGTGTATGTGTGTGTGTGTGTATGTGCGTGTGTGTGTGTATTGCTCTCCTCATCCACTGAAAATATTATACTTTACACTATCTTTAACCTCATATTTTATTATTCCTAATTTTGTCTATGACAAACTAGTTTTTTATTCGTTTCTATTTTATGAAAAAAAACGTAAATTTCTTTTGATTTCTTTCTTTTCAATTGTGCATTGAAAAATGTGTTCTTACTATTCAAGGATGAGTATGTGGCATCAAGAAACAGCGTGATTCTGATATCGGATTCATCGTAAATCAAATGAATATTTGTTGTATTTCTATCACTTCAGAAAAATGTGAGTCTCCGCCCACCTTCTAACAAAATCCTGACTATGACAATTAGTTCGAAGAAATACATATCTATTTCTTCAAAAAACAAAAAACTATTTCAAATTGAAAGTTTCCAGCAATTTCTGAGATGTAAAGAAAAAAAAGGCATCAATTATTTTTAAAGTGGCTCATCGTTCTAAGCAGCAAAAATTAGATATTACATTATTAATCTAATGTTAATTCTAACAATACTTAAAGTAAATACTTTTTATTTGTTTTGTCATTTTTTTTTTATATTATAAACATATTTTTTTATTCTATCTTTTGATTTTTGTAACATATGAGAAGAAGCATAATGTTCATATTTTTTTAATTATTTTTGAATAGAGAGACACACATGTCTTGTGTTCACACGATATTTTCGCATTTTAACTGAAATTTATTCTCAAGTTAGACTACTATACAAAGATATTAATCAAACAAATATAAACGTTCTTTTCATATTGTATTATCAACATATTAAATAAAACATTTTCATCACTCTCTATCGTGAACATGATCATTCAATTTTTCATCATGCTGTGTTTATCTCGAACACCTCCTGCTTCTTTTAAGAAACAGCAAATTATAAAAATATATAAGATATACAGAAAGCAAACTTGCAGTGAAATGTATTTTAAACATTTGTTTGAAAACTAAATTAGAAAATGATCTTTACGTAATTTTTTGTGATTTAGATATTTTGTTCTAAAAATGTTCTAAGACTATTTTCTAATTCAGTTTTCAATGATGAATCATGGAAAACAAGTTAGAACATTCCATCTTGCAATACAAAACGAATTTCAAAAAAGAACCGAAAACCTCTTTCGAGTATTTCGAGTTTTTGGACCGAAAGTAAGTGTCAAAAGAAATCGAGGAACACATATTCATGATCAGTGCTATCTCCTCTATCAAATAGTGTATAAAAAAGTCGAAAAATAAATTCCACTGCAAGTTACCCAAGTTTGCTTTCTATGCATCTTAATGGATACTAAGAAAAACATCATTCTTTTTTAAAAGCATTTTAAAAACGATAGCGTCATCAAATATTGCTTGAAAAACTGTATAAAATATTTTATTATCTTTATATGCAACAATCAATGGTATGTGTCATTAAATAATTGAGAGTTAGAAAAGGAAAAATAGGTGGCATCAGGTATAAATCTGCGATTAATAAATGATTTTAAAAAGCAGCAGTAGCAGAAGAAAAGATGCGCTTAGTATAGTTCTAGGTTGACACACAAAATAATAAAACAAAAATGAAAATTTTGGTATCAAGCTTTACTGTATGGCAAGAAAATGAATAGAGAATTCAATTTAAAAATTTTAGCAAAAAATAAAATATATCAATGAATATTTTACTAAATATAGCAAACATTTTCTATTATCTACAAACCGGTTTATCTTCTTTATCTGTTTCGCTTTCAAGCGAATTGTCCGATTTAAAATAAGACCATGCTGTTTTAAGCTAGAAGAAATCCAACCTTGATGTTGTAACAACAAAAAATAGTCTTGAATGAATAAATAAAAGCTTTTCACCCTTTCAAAAACAAGTCTACCATTTACACTTTGCATCTGGGAGATAAAGAAAAAAAAACGAAGATATATACATTAGAACAATACCGTACCTTTTGTGTAACATCGTCTCTCTGTTTTTCCAATGCATCTTGCGCTAAACCGAATAATGGATGTTGCTTGTCCAAACATTGATCATATAGAAGCTGAAAATTTAAAAAAATAAAAAAATGTTTATTATTTGATTAAAAACTGAATAATTTCGTTTAAATTTTGAAAATTGTGAAAAATAAATTGTTACTTTATGCACTTTTTCACATATTTGTTCTATACCATAGATAGAAGTCAAATGCATAGATATCTAGTACATATTTTCTGTTCGAATCCATAACACATACTATTGATGTTAGGTTTATGGTTTCACATTTCTGTTTAAAATAATATCTAGTTTCATTCCACAAATAGTCCTTTATTAGAGAATAATATGGGGATCAGTCAGAGGCAGTGGAACCATGGGGGCTGACGGTGTCTTGGCACTCACAAATTTTGAAAATTTTCATTTTCTTCTAGTAGAAACTTATTTTTTCTTTGCGTTCTTGTTCTTGTGCGTCCATCGTGTTTCAGAATCATTCTGCCGCCTCTAGGATCAGTATCAAATATAATTATAGAATTTATTAATTCTTCTTCTTCAGTTCAAGTGTCACAGAGAAGTAACAAATTGTTTGAGAACATGTGTGTTAAACAGTATGTTTTTTTTTTTTTACGTTACACTATTCACTAAACTAAATCAGACCTATTCGTGGAGGAGTGTGCATCTTCTGTTGAAACAAAAAAATAGAAATTTTTTATCATCTTACGCATTCAGACTCATTGATCTAAACGTTTAATTACAAAATAAATCAATATGTGAGTGTGTGTGTAGATTAAATATATTCATTGTTTTGATAATTTCACATTCCCCATGTGAGAAACGTCAAGAATTATTATCACAATATAAAATAGGTTTTAACGCTATGCAGATCTGTGTGTTGATAAGAAACATTTATCTGGATAAATTACGATAATACAATTTTCACATGTTAAAGTCTGACAAAATATCCAATAAATTTCAAAAACTTTAGAGATAGCAATTAAGACATTTTTTATCTGTTAAGTGTTTTAGACAAGTATCATTTTTTAATTGTCATCTATAAAAACAATCAAAACATCTATCTCGATGTACTTTCATCTAGACTACTATATGAAAACAATTTTTAGACTGATAACAACGCTAGAATATGTAGTGTATGACACGACAGATAAAATAAATCCTCTAAGCAACAAAAGCTATAGTGAATAAATGTATTTCTATCAACATTAGAGAAGAGTAATAATATATATATATATATATATATATAGAAGAAAAAAAATCTTGTTGATAACCAAAAATCGTTATTAATTATATTGAGAGATCAAAACTCAACAAATTTCTTTATCTAACAGCATGAATAGTCTATTTTTTATATTATGCATCAAGAGATGATAATCTGCAACATATCCCAGATTCTTTCATCTAGTTTGTCTTATAATGCGATAATTAGTTTACAGTATTCAGTTATTTATTGGTAAAAGAATTTGATCAATTTATATAAAAACAGTGTACACTATTTTACATACTTTATCTTCTGCAATTCGTTTTTGATCATCATGTTGAAGTAATAAATTAATAGCTTAAACAAAAGAAATTATTCATTATGATATGTTTATCGTATATATTTGTTAATGAATACCTTCAACAAAGCCTTCATCAATCGCATGTAACAATGCTTCTCCAGTATCGACATTATAACTTAATAATAATTGAATCATTTCTAAATTTTCATTTTCAATAGCTATAATAAGCAGAAAAGAATAGAATCATAATGATAGTAGAATAAAATGTCAAAAGAAAGAACAATACCTATTAATAAGGCACTTCTTCCGAAAGGATCAATACAATTAACATTAATCTGAACGTCACTTTCACTTGATACCGATGATTCTAAATATTTTCTTACATTAGCCATATCACCTCCTAAAAAAAATGTATAGTTTTGTTTAAATAAATAACTTATTTAGTTCGTTAAAATATACTTACTATCCGTAGCGGCTAGATATTTTTTTTCATCTTGACTTAAATCTGGTTCTCGTTTAACGATAAATTGTGCCGCAGTCGATGATGTACCAGTATCACCAACTGATTCTTTATCAGATATTGATGATACTTGATCTGACACCATTTTTTTCGCTTTCCAATAATCTCTTTCCATTCGGTCAATTGCGCGTGACATGATTGTTTGTAGAACAATATTTAATATACATATGAATGAAGCCAATGTTAGGATTTTTTGACCATTTGACAAGATATAATACTCAATATAACAATTTGATGGTATAAAAATTCATTATTATTATTGGATGTATCACTTATTTCTATATTCGTTTAAGATCTTAAAATTGTAATTAATAATTTTATTAGACATGGTGGTGTTATAATGATAATAAGAAAAAGAAGTGATTATAAGATGTTTAATATTCGATAGACTACGACAAGTACTTGAAAAAAAAAGAAATTATTATCTAACTTCGAACTATTTCTTGATAAATATTACAAAAAATACAAAAAAAAAGAAAGTTTTACATACAGAGGAAGAAACTGTAGCTACATTTGATTTGTTTTGAAGATATATTATTATCATAAAAAATACGCATAAATTGCTTGTTCTATGGTTTTTCCATTTCTCCTTCGTTGTTCTACTTTTTGTATATATTCCCTCATTCTATGTAATGCTGAGGTTTCTTTATCCTCATTTCTTTTTTCTTGTTCTATTCTGTTCTGTTATTATCTTTATAATAAACAATATAAATAAAGACATCTCTACATCCAAGTTTTTTTTTTTTTTTTTCTTTTCTTAAACAAGTGTTACCAGAGATAAAACGAATTTCTTTTCCATCTTTATTTTCTGAAAGTAAAAGAAAAGATAGCGATGCTTCTGATTTATGTACCAAATCATAAAATGATTTACACTTACATCATATGACCTTTGTAATCAAATTATATTCAAAAGTAAAACCGATGACACACATTTCCATTTGAACATTAAACAAAAAAAAAAAAGAAGAAGAAGAGGAGTTTTCTTCAGTCATTTCGGTTTTTTCGATCCTCACATAGGTAAAAACGGAAATCAAAATGACACATGCGGTTTTATCATAAACAAAAAAAAAAAAAGTTCTTGATATTTTTTTTTTTCGGTCTTTTGATACATGTAAATGTAGATTTTGACAGTTAAATGATTATTATATATAGAAATTAATGACGGTAAATAAGAGAACACCAACATACATTAGTAATGTCAGGCAAATAGTATTAATTAGATAAACGTACTGGCAACGCTTCAAACTATTAAAAAATGAGAAATAAAAGAAGAAAGAATATTATTGAGTTTTACAAACAGATCAAATTGACTTTTATTCTTTTTGTTGAACTTGTAATGTGTTCTTTTCTAATCCCAAGCAAATATAAAGTATAGATTATTGAGCAATCCTATCTAGGTAACCCAATCCAATACCCGATATACCTAGATACAAGTAGACAGACAGTATTGAGTATTGGACAATCCAAGCTAGTTAACTTAATAAAGTAGTCGGTATATATAGATAATCCAATATCTTACCCGATTCGGGATATTAGATTTGTCACATATCCAAGTAAGAAATCTTGTGAAGTATCTAGATATTTTGTTGTGGTATTGGGCAATCCTACTATGAAATATCTAGGTACAGGTGTCACTTTTATTGGGTTATCTAAGATATATTGGGCAAATAAAATATGCAGATATTTTCATATACGATTTTTTGCTTGGGAAGGTATGTTAGACTGATTATCTTAGCAATGATAAAAGGTAAATTCTAAAAATCATGATTCTAAGCAAAAATTTATCATTAGTTATTCTTCAAATAATAGAGGATAATATTTACTTGAGTATTTCTTTCCTTAGCTGAATGAGTCCTTGAGCAATATGACAGATGAATAGTATAAAAGCTAATTTATTACTTAACCAGTTCTTAAAGATTTTATTTCTCGCTAAATTTACGAAGATCTGCCCGCAAGAAATTGTTCCCTATGCAGCCAGTGAAATCTAATTTTTAAGAAGAAAATAGTTTCTGACGGTAATGAAGATAGATTTGTTTATAAGAACAATACATCTCTTACTTCTCATTATAAAATTAATGTTCGTTCATTACTCTTTGTCACATTGTTTTTGGATTTAAACCAAAATGTTGTTACTGTTGTTGTACGAATTTTTATGAATAAATAATAATTTATTTATCTTCTATATTTTTCAAACATGATGAAGAGTAAAAATAGTCTATATTTAAATCTATTATTTATTGTGTTCAATATAGTATATTATGAAAAAACAAAATGTTATGAATTATCTTATTCACTACATCACATCATTATATCATCTATATTTTTTCCTTAAATAAAAAGAAACGTATAGAAAACGTTTAATCTAATACAATATATTAATTTTACTTTTTCTTTGTCTATCTGAAAGAAGAAAAAGAAGAAAAACAACAACAACAACTCAAAATTGTGTATGATTTACACAATTCTCGAAATAAGCAACGAAATAAATAAGAAAATTTTTATATGACAACAATATAAAGAAACAAAAAAAAATAGTCTCATTTTTCATAATGGACAAACAAAAATCTTATTTACATTATTCATAATGGCTATTATTCTTCAAAAATATGACCTCGATTATACGTCATTATTATTTCTAGAGAAATGAAATCTGTATATCGAGAAGAAGATCATATCACATCACTCGTATATCTTTAGAGTAAATGGCTAATGATTTCTATCAACTCAACAGGTTATATTGATTAAAAAAAATATTTTATAGATGATATACAGAGAATTTATCATAAAGTAGTAGAATGTATATAGTTAAACGACAATATTCGACACGAACTGAGTATGTTAGAAATATTTTTGTGAAATTTCTCTTCATAACTCTATAGTAGAGAGAAGTTTATTTTAAATTCAGTGGTTTTCGGTATTTTTTTTAATCCTTTCCTCTCCCCTAGTAGGTCTGGTACTCATCTTACATGGCATCAGTATTCATCTTAAATCATAACTAATCGAAAATGTTATTAGCAACCGAATAATCAAGGTTAGAAAATAAATACGCCAAAAAATAAAGATTAATTTGATATGACACTCTTTACAATACATACTTGGTTTGTTTGTTGTCGTCAGAAGAGTTAGTATCCCATTGTTGAAAAATATATCATTCAAACTGTTTACTGTTTTAAACAAAAAATCATAATACGTGAGTAGATGTAGAGCGCTAACGCCTATTTAAAATGTAAACAAATGAATACGACATCATATAGTAGTGTTTTATGATTTTGGAAAGAAGAAAGAAAATGAAAGAACAAAGATGTCGTCTTCATAGACGAACACTAAAGGAGATTGGAAGACTGGTCTCTCAGTGCCTAGACGAACAACTCGAAGACAAATAAAATTTCATAATGAACTATCTTATCTAGCAAAAACAATAATCGAATCTACTCATAATTATGAAATTACCTTTTTTCGAAAAAGTTTGGTTATTCTTTTCTGTTGTGTATGTTACACACAAAATTAGAAGTCAACCAAATGACTAAATTTGCTTGTATCATATATAATGTAGTGCACTATAATATGCTTTTCTATTTTTCCATATAAACATATGGTAGCTATCGTCAATAGATGAAATACGAATTGCATGAAAAAAAATGACTCGATAAGAATCGATTAGTTGTTTTTGTTTTGAATATCAAGGTCCATTTGTCTTTCGAAATTGTACAAAAGACAAACTTGAAATTCTAGACACTAATCAATAAAGTTATGGCCCACATTTTCAATAGTTAATTATAATATGTTCTCTCGAACAATGTTAGTAGCACATAAAACGAGGTTTTACCTCTCGGCGTCTCATTAACTCAGCTTCCTGACTTTTCCGATTTCATTTTTTGAAAATAAAAGATTTGATAAAATATATGTTATATATCTGCACAATCAAATAGAACCGGATATAAAAAAATCAGGTCACTTTTAGTAGCAGCCAAAAGTATTTTAACTCATCATATGTTTCTTCTGATTACATATCTCCATCAGAATAGAAAAAGTTTTTTCTTTCTGATATAACTGAATTATAGTTTGTAGCTGATAGACAATTTTATTTTCTTTGATATAGATATCTATCGCAGAGAAAAGTTCTTCTCTGTACATACAAGCATGTTTGTCATTCACATCCTGATTTTAGATAATCAAGTGTCTATAATGATGGTGACGATAATCTTATTTTGGGAAATATAGATTCTTCCTTTATCAGTTAACTACGTTCTTTTGTGATTACGTGAATATAGAAATATATGAAGATTAACAATTTATCATATATGAAGTCATAAATACATAAATATATGTGCAAAGAAACAACAACAACAACACACGCACGATCACCAATATTTTAGTACACGATTGTTTTTGCTCAACAGTCGTCTCAAAATGTCAACATGTCGAGTAAACAACACAGAACATAGATTCAATATATAGTGAAAAAAAAAGCTCAATTATTTCTGTGATTGTCAACGTCCACAGCAGTAAGCAAAAAAAATATAATACAATGAAAATCACGGATGTCACGACTTTCAGATGTTAGGGGGAAGGGAATAGAGTGGCTTCAAAACTGTCGCAGAAGTATCATACAAGTCTTTTGCTTTATCTTTTGATGGAAAAAAGCAACAACTTTTTTAATTAATAGATAAGATTCATCCCAGCACCCCCTCTGATCATGACAGTCCTGATGCAACCTACTAGTTCGACGGAACTAATTTGCATAAAACTAAGCAAATATTTGAATGAATGATATTGTTGTTAACAAATGCTGAAAATACGCAACATCAATTGTTGTTTAGATAACGAAGAGAGAAAAATAAATTTATGTATGAAGCTATAATTAATGAAATTCTGCAATACATTTGACATTATTATTTTTTTTGATGACATCTATTTATCTGTAGAGTAATCGTTCGATAATAACAAGCATTGTAGCAGTCTTCTAATGCTCGTTTGGTGCATTCAGTTAGTGTTTTGCCTGTATTTTCACACTAATGCTGAACGTTATATAATTTCATTATAAGCCATTCGGGAAAAATTGACTAGTAACAATAGTGAATAGGAAAAAGAGAATAACAATCAATCAATCAATAGGTTTTTTATTTGAACACGAAT